AGTAAGAGGGAGTAACTTGTAAAAATCGTAGGATTGCATGAGTTTGGCAACCCACTGTAGAAATACATATAAGCATACATATTTACCACACCTATCTCGCTGCTATTAGAGACTTACTGACGGGAAAGGGGGATACGAAGGTAAAGGTTGAAGACAGGAGCCTGTATAAGAGGAATCAGAGAGGATGCGCTTTGGATGAAAAGTGAGTTTTGACATTTCGAGTCCACTTCGAGCACCATAAGCTTTCGATTAGAGTTGTAGGTGGAACCACAGGACTCTCAAGAATTTGCGTTAGCAACTAATTATCTTACGAAACCCTCAGCGTTTTTAAGAAAAATTATCCCGTGTCATCAATTATACGATGAAAATTTCATAGCTCTGAAATTTTCACAACGCAAGGCCGTCGGCATTCATAAAACGAAACCTAAGATTTAACAGAGCTCCGCCAAAATTCTTAAAGACGGATAACTTGTTATTGTTCGGCTAAATCCTGCGGGAGTTTAGCATTGTCCTTGAAGTAGCTTTACAAATTATATAATGGCTTTCGTTATAATAGATGATGCGTTAGTACTGGGCGTGTTTATATGAATAGATTAGGCTATTTATTAGGTCAGTTGGTCTTTTAGTTTACACTGCCTGATCAGTTGTAATCGCGATGAGCGATGGCCTTCTCGAGAAAATGGGTGTGTCAACGAAAATGATGCACATGAAAGAATGTACACAGTACATTCCAACAGACAGTGCATATGAAGGGGTTGAATCCCTAAACAGAGCATGCCGCTGCGGTGAATTTCCTTCTGGCCACATGAGTTATAAAAGCTAAAATTAATTTTATGTTTAGTAGCTTCAACTCAGGAAATTTTGAGCAAGCATGAAGATGATTTTATAGTTTTGCCAACTGAGGTCTATGGATTGCTGAGATTCAGATTTTTGGACTTCCCACATCTGTCCACAGCTGCGGTATATGCATGTCTTAAACCACACATCAAACCTATATTTATACCTATCCCTTATAGAACAGATCCACATAAGTGTTTATTTACTTTAAATCTGTTTATTTTAAAGTGATCGCCTATAAATCCTTAGATATTTTATTGCCTAGCAAGAGTTCGTTTTCCATGCTAATTTCTAAAGATTTTTCTCTTTTTTCATGGTTCATCAATAGAAGGTAGGGAACGGATCCGTGGAAACCCCTTCTTTGTAACCACCAGACATATGGGAGTTTTCAGGTTAGACCAACCCCCCCGCCAAGACAGGGGCACTCCCGTGAACGGTACAGTTCACTGTTCAAATAAGGCGTCGTATTTCTTCTTGAACCCGGGAACTATGTCGGCAGCAACAACATCTGAGGGGAGATTGTTCCATACATTTACGGCGCGCTTTGGGAGTCGATAGATGTGCGGGAAGCCATCTGTTCTTTGTACCGCCAGTTTGAAGCAGTGTTCGCGCGTATGCATATCAACGGCCAGTTTGAAGTACTGTGCTATCTCCGGGATGTCGCCGCAAACGATCACTTTGTACATCATGATTTGGTCGCCTCTGGAGCGTCGAACTTCGAGAGTGAACAGGTCCAGTGCTTTACAGCACTCCGGATATGTCAGCCTCCTCACTTTGGGCACCATTCTTGACCCCATCCGTTGCACATATACGATATCGGT